ATAGATAGATAGATAGATAGATAGATAGATAGATAGATAGATAGATAGATAGATAGATAGATAGATAGATAGATAGATAGATAGATAGATAGATTAAAAAAAGAGTGATTAAAAACAAAATTGCTAAAGAGAGTAAAAGTAGGAATGACTTGTAAGACAGAGGTGTTCATAAATAATATGAACACTATAAATCTGAGAAAACAGCTGCATGAAGACATAATACAAAAATCTGTTTGGGATCTTATGCCTGACTGGTGTGATCACCTGTCACAGAATGAACGGTGTTATACGGTTTTATAGAGAACGGTAGGAATGATTTCTCGACGTGTTCATTATGGCTGCGAGGTGGAATCAGTCTGAGGGAGAAGGCGCGCTGCTGCCTCAGAAGTGCGATGTGATGCGGGTGTGATATGTAACAGAAAGACACGAGTTAATAAACAGCTCCTGCACATATTTACGTTTTCTGGGGCACGTGTGTTAACACAAGAGTGCTCTCAGGCTGTGTGTGCATCAACAGTCTGTCTCTCTATTTGTCTGCGGTCATGCCCATCAGCTCACCTCCCGCGGGGAAGCTCTCCTTCTTCTCGCCGCCATCGCACAGTAGGAGCAGGATCCCCGTGGACCTCACATAGAAAGTCAACAGTCTCTTCCTCCATGACCACCTGGTTAACAGGCCTTCGTACCAATACGGGGCGCTCTGCTAGACAACAGATGCCTTTAAACATGACCACTTTATGCTCTTCGAAGGACTGACTACGTAACTGTTTGAACCTCACCATACACCACCAGCTCTGCAGGATCACTGTCCCTCTCTCCAACCATGTTACTGCCCACGCAGACGTACATGCCTGCATCGCTCTTCCTGGTGTGAGAGATCATCAGTTTGCCACCACGCATCTGAAAAACACAATGGCATGTTTAGTTATGTTTGCACTGATGCAAAGATCATTAATCGCTCATATTCAAAACACTGTATGAGTCACTGTAGGTGTACGTGTATATGTTGCTGTGATGTTTATTTTCTACCTACATTCTTATGCTTGAGGTTCTCAGCACAGATTTACTTGAAATTAAGTTCAGTTTAAAGCTCCTGCTTGAGCTACTGACGTAAACAATATCTTTCATCCGCCTGTGACTTCTCACAGTTCCAAATCTACTTTTCAACAACCAGAGATTGTGTCCAGCTGTTGTTTTTACACATGAGAGGACAGAAGAAAAGCGACAGCAGCATCAGAGACACTTTACGCTCTGCAGCGTACGAAGGTGTCCGCATTAAATGATAGTCAACAGAAACTGTTGTCAGTCTGAATTGATATCTCTCCCACCTGTACAACAGAGTTTTTCTAGACCATTTGAGGGAATATTTATCAGTCCTGAGGAAAGAAAGACAAACCAGAATCTATCCACACAGGTCTATGCTCACAGTTGTACACGTTAAAGTTTAAATTAATTTTGTTTGGTCATTTTCCTTTTTGAACACCTCTTTAACCTTAAAATTTCAACTTATTCCTACCCCAGGTACTCAAAGTCTACCTTTGCAGTCTGTAGTGACTCTGTAATAAATCACAGATGTTTATTGTTTTTTAAATTTTTTAAGTAAAATAATGAAAGACAGATTTTAATTAAGTGTGACTCAGTCAGAAGTGAAACTGTACCTTTGTGAACTATTTTCAGAGATGGATTCATACGCATTTGGAGCACTGCAAAGTACTCACATCACTAGAGAGTATGTGGGATTAACTCAAAATAAACTTCAGGGCTCGTGTTCATTTCAAATGTAGGTCTCTATTGTATTTTTAATAGTTTTTGGCAACAATTGAGCCTCACAGCACAGACCAATAATATTTATCACACTTCATGTATAAAGGCTATGGCCATTATTAAGCACAGTTCGATGTTGGTTTTCATTGGATTTATATCCAGAATTATTGATCATGGATGTTAGGAATTGGAAACTACAGTAGGTCTATAATAAACGAATCAGTAAGAAAGTGTTAGAGTTTGTATTGTTTCTCCCGTGCACGAGAAACATGAAGAACTTTGCCTACTTGTGTCTTGCTTTGCAGTGTAATTATATTGCCTTCAACGTTCCAGCGGATGGGTTCAAGCTACAAACCTATCAGAAAGTAACAAGGATCCGATCACTGTGCCTCTGGCTGCCACCTGATCCACAAAGCACCAAACTCCTATGACTCCTCCTTCAGCTGGTGGCCCACAGGACAGCCCACAGGTACGTCTTTCTTTCTCGTGGGTATACCAATCCCTCCACCTCAATATTCAGGAGCTCTGTCATTTGGGAGAGGCTCAGGGTAGAGCCGCTACTCCTCCAAAAGGAGCCAGTTAAAGTGGTTTAGGCATCTGATTAGATGAGGTGGTTGAATCATGTCCTAAAGGGAGGAGACCCCGAGACAGGCTCAGGACATGCAGGAAAGATTGGATCTATTAGCTTTGAAGGCCACCTGAAATCCACCGCCTGGGGCACATGTTCAATCATCATAATTTTGAGATGTCCGCGCAGCCCCTCGTGATCACTGTCTGATGACAAAATCCAAAAAACAGACATCCATCTTCCTCTACCTCTTCTGCCAGGGAGGTTGGTATGATGTTTTTGGTTGTTTGTTTAGCAGGACAACTGAAAACATTCTGGAGTGAGATTTTTACCAGAGGTGTGACTGCATCCAACTTAAAACTGGTTAACCGTTTGAGGTCTGAGTCATCATTGGTGATGGACAGAACTCTAACCCTAGGCACACAAGCTTAAAATTTTGTTTTCTTTAGTCACTCCCCAAAGTCTTTGCAGTCAGAGAACAAAGAAAATCGTCATTCTTACTTACACAGATCAAAAAATATTTACAAAAGAAAGTAAATTTTGGCTTTCTCCCAAATATATGGTTAGGTTTAGGTTACCAGCTATGACTACTTTGACCTCTGAGGTCTTGATTTTTGAGATGATCCAGAGATGTAAAGATTAATGCAGTGGAGTTTATGGGGTTTACAAATCGCTGTATTTTTCGCAAAAAATGAACGGTTTTTCTAATGATTGTTGAACTTACAGTGACGCGCTCATCTTTGGTGCTGACTCGGACGTTGTTGCGTTTCCAGGACACGGTGGGCTCGGGGTGACCTCGTGGAGGTACACACTCCAACACAGCAGGCTCACCGGCAGCTACCACCACGTCACTCGGGGCCTGCCGGAAATCATCTCTCAGGACTAAAAAGAAAACACAAAGAAATCTAATTAGCTTCAGAAGGCCCTGTATGAGTAATGTATTTAAAATAAAGACTGGAAATCAGACTCACAGATCAGCAAACAGGCACACAGCCATATAACCAGTATCAACAAATGAAGTACCAATTTGTCTTGGAAGTAATTAAAGCTGCTTTCTCCCAGGTGAACCATCTTTCTGCTGAGAGTTTTCTGAACACGTTTTTTTTTATAGAGAAAGTCAGTTATTGTGTCTGCATGTGCCTGACTGCTTACATCCCCAGCATTGTCCTTGTTAGTCTGTGCTTGGTTTTAAAGCCTGCATCCTACTCTGATGTCTCTCCTGTCAGAACAGATGAATAATGCACATCTCTCATTCCAACATGGAGTAAACAAATAACAGCACATTCATAATTTAGCCCGTGTGCAGGGGAGAGAAAGAAGAAATAGTGCCTCTGAATCAACGAGAGGATTGTGTCTCTGATTCAAGAGCTATCTTACAAATCTTCAGCACATCTCTGAGTCAAGAGAAATCAGCACCGACCGAGCAAAGCCTTTCCGCTCGTGTCATTTCTAAAGTTTGAGCTCCCGCCACCCTGTGGATGACGACAGAACTTTGACACGGCGACCTCTGATATCTTCTAATCTTGTGCTGTGATTGACAGATGAAAGCCTCAGTGAGAGTTGCAAACTGAACGCTCTCAAGAGACCTGCTGTACAATTGAACTGAATTGACAGGCTCACATTTTCAATAGACACACTCCTACAGGATCCTTTCTGAACCAAAGTGTATTATTCCAGTATAATCAATCGGTCTGCTTTTACACGGTAATGAATATTTCATCGATCTTTCTGAGATGCAAAGATAAAAGATCTTGGGCTTTTCTGCCAATCTTCACTCAATGACTGCCTTTGTAACAGACCAAACACAGATCATTTAACACCTCTCTGCTGGCCAAGCGAGACATTTGGAAAGGTTTTTTTTTAAGTCTTTACAAGGCAAAACAAGTGTAAAAAAAAGAAATGTGAGTTCACTTGCTCCAATCAAGTGCTAAGAACTGAAGTTCTCCGAATGTCTGCTGTGGCTGACTCATCAATGATAAGAGCCTTCTTCTGAATATCGGGCTATTTCTGGCTCTGCCCTGCACTTAGGGTTAGGGTTATTGATTTTGGCAAGTTTAGCCAACACTCCAGCAATGAAAGCCCAAATTTACCTTAGAGTAGGGGTGGCCAATTTTCCCAAATCATTTTCTCAAGGGACCACATGAGAAACTGGCACTGCTGTGGAGGGCTGCACTAATAAGCTGAATTCAATGCTGCTCAATATTATTTGGTTCTATTTATAAACTGCTAGTCGATGTTACAATTAGGCCCCTTGGGAAAATTAATTACTCACCTCTGCCTTTGAGTCACAATTGATAAAAACTTGCTTATAGCTTTTTCAAAATAAGTGTCAACATCAGTGTTGGGCAAGTTACTTTGAAAAGGTAATTATAGTTACTAGTTACGTCTTCAAAAAATAACTGAGTTAGTAACTGAGTTACAATATTCTAAAAGTAATCAATTACTTGAAAAATAACTATTGCGTTACTTTAAAAAAAAACAAAAAACGTTTAACCCTCTGGGGTCCAGGGTATACTTGGCCATTTTTCACTACTTTTGATTTTCCCTCCACATTTTACCTTTAAAAACTATTTACTTTGCCCTGTTTGGTATCATTCTTTTCAGCACAACCTCACGTGTCTGAATTTACAGTTTTCATTTTGACACACTGTACTAACACAACTGATCTAAAATCAGACAAAAAACATAAAATCCGAGTAGAAAAGGTTTTATTTTTACTGTAACAACCACAAACATGTTTAATGAATCATATTTCATAACTTTAAATACAAATATAAATTGTCAATTTTAAAATCATATGCATGTTTTGCAAACAAAGTTATTTGCATCCATTAACTTTTTACCCTTGTTAAAATAATCATTTCAAACTATTTACAGAACAATCAGCTGTTCTGCATTCAATAAGATGCCACACAAATTATTTGTGCCACTCCAAAAAATAATTTCTGTCCACTGTAAAGGAGAACATCACAGCCTGCAGGTCTGACAGCAGCAAAGTGTATCACTCCTCCTGTTTCTACCTGGAGACAGCAGTTGCCTCATTGTTCTGACACACAACACAAAACTATCTACAACACTACACACTAACTACACAAGACAACACATTAACTACACACCCCAAACACGCTAAACGTCACAAATCTCTCACATCTCAAAACACAATTTAAAAACTGGTATATATCACCTTGTTGCTTTGTCTTTAAGTGATCATGTGACTGGCCGACTACTTTATTCTTCCTCAGTCAAACAGCAGCACTCATGCGACTGTTTTGCCCCCTGAGCTCCAGGTGTTGTGCTAGACAGTGATCGTGATTACCGTCCGCGGGAGCGCGCGCAGCTGCTTAAAGCTGTAGCGCCCAGATTACTTACAGCTACTTCCGTGCAACTGATATAAGATGCGGTTGAAAAATAGTAACGGACAGCATTTTCTTGTTAGTAACTGTAACG